TTCACATCTTTCCTCCCTTCAATTTACTTTTGTTTCTTGGATATTTTTTTCTCCTCTCATCTCTGCCTTGTCAGTTCTCTGAGCAAAGCATATTAGTTTGTTGTGGTTTCTTTTTCTTCCGCAAACATGAGCTGACACACTCGCATGTGCACAGCACACATTACAGCTGGACGAAATTGAGAGCTTTGGCCTAGATCTTTGTTGGAAAGTGGCTCTTGAGGAAATGAGAGAAAACACACTTAAGTCAAACACCAAGAGAATCCTTGGGGCCAGACTGACTGTTAGACGGGGTTGGCGTGGTGCCATGTGGCCTAGTGGAAGGAAGGGGTGTGTGTCCCTACCCTTTGTCCGTCCTATAGTAGTTCTTCAGCTGGCAGCTGAAACTTCCATGTAAGTATAAAAAGATCATGCTTTCCAAACCAGAAATCAGCATTCATGTCTAAAGAATTATCAAAAAAATAGGTCAGAGCTGTTCAGCCAAAGCTGGGATTAATGGTCATTCAAAGATTTCATCTTATTCCAGCTGAGATCAAAGATAGAGGCTGCTTGCTTGGCAAATAATGGAGAAGGAGTCTGGGACCACATCTGGGCTTGGTAGAAAAACACAAGGATGTGCAGTTGTTTGTCAGTAACCACAGGGGACTTGTCTCTGGATCCTCCATGGTTATAAAAGTACAGATGTACAATTCCTTGATATGTAGTAGTATAATATTTGCCTGGAACCCATGTACATCCATTTCTATACTTTAAATCATCTCTAGATTATTTATAGTAACCTGAATGCTGTGTAAATTGTTATACTGTATTGTTTACGGAATGGTGACAGAAGAAAAGTCTGCATGTGTTTAGTACAGACAGTTTCTTTAGAATACTTGCAATCAGTGGTTGGTTGAATTCACAGATGTGGAGCCCATGGTGGCAGAGGCAGCACTGTCAGGAAGGACTAAGACAGTGAGAGATGGGCTAGTGCAAACTTTGCAATATTGGCTTTATACCCAGATGTTTTTTTGGAGGGCCAATGGTGAAATGCTACTAGCTGTTGACATCTTGGCATAAATTAAGTTATAAGTTGGCTGCCCATCAAATGGCTCAAAGAGAACAGACTCACAGGATAGGTTATTTTTCAAATGACTTACTAATTATCAAACTGAAATTCTTATGAAGCCAAATTCACCACTTGGCAGTGCACAGTTTAGTGGCTTTTAGTACATTTTAATGTTGTGCAACCAGTATCACTCTCTAATTACAGATCTTTTTCATCACCTCCGAAAGAAATCCTGCACACATTAAACATACACTCCCAATTCTCCCCTCCCCTTAGCTCCTGGAAAATACTAATCTATTTTTTGTCTCTATGAATTGGTCTATTTTGGATATTTCCTGTAAATTGAATCATGTATGGCCGTTCTGTGTCTGGCTTGTTTTACGGAGCATGCCTGCAAGGTTCATCCATGCTATTGCATGAATCAGTACACATTTCCTTTTTATACAGCTGTATAATATTTCACAGTGTGGCTACAATCCACTTTGCATTTATTACTTGATGGACATTTGGGGTGTTCCCACCTTTTGACTATTATAAATATGTTGTTGTGAGTATTCAATTAAAACTTTGACTTGAACATTTGTTTTTAGTTCCCTTGGGGGATAAGTAATTTTTTTCTGCTTTTGGTAAAGGCAGAATCATTTGAAACTGTTTGATAGATGAATTTTGTTAAGAAGAAAATAGCAACATTTGGGTACTGCTAGATGAGGTCTGGTGGGGATGAACAGATGTGTAAAGGTACGGTCCTAAATGGTTCCTCACTGGGCTATCTTGCAGGGCTCTGTTAGTGGGTGCTCTTTGGGCAGAAACAAGGGGGACTTGTTAGCTGGATGTAAAGCAAGATGCTAAAATAGTAGAACAAATTTTTAGCACAATAAAGAAAAGGACTCACTTATTTTAAGAATGCTACTTGCTGTGCATTTCTAGTGTAGCATCTTCATATCTATAAACTCATTAGGATGAATAAATCAGGCATGGCAGTTACCATTTGCTGGCATTTGAGAAACAAGAGAATTCAAGGGCCTAGCACAGCACCTGGTGGACATTCAGTCAATGTTTGCTAAATGAATGAAGCAGAGTCCTAGCCAGTCAAAGAACGTCAGAGCTGGGAAAGTCTTTGATATAAACCCTAGGCCAGTGGTGACAAACCCTTTAGAGACTGCCTGCCCAAACTGCAACCCAAAACCCATTTATCTGTCACAGGGTGCCAACACTGCAATTAAACTGAATACTGGGGTTTTAGTTTAGAAAAAATAACTATTAACTAATGTTCTGCTGCTGGGGCAGCTTGGCTTATGTATTGACAGCCGGGGCTTTGTGTTCCTGCTGCAGCATGTGTGTCATACGTCCAGCACCACTGCCTTTGGCCCTCCTCCCAAGAGGCAAGCAGGGATGTCAGAGCAGAGTAGGGAAGCTCTGGACTTAAAGTCAAGGTCAACTCAGTAAATGAAAGACTCAAGTCAGTCGTGTTCCTTGTCCCCATACAGAATGTTACAGTATCAACTGTGTTGCTTTGTGGCAACTATGTTGCTCTTGTCTCTATATAAGTGCCAGGGAGTGGAGCTTGTGTCTGACTCATTGAATCCCAGGATGTAGCAGAGTTGTTGAAACTTGCTGAATGGATGAGTGGGAATCAGAAGTTCTCTGTTCCTCCTGGATCTCTGTTCCTTCTCATTTTGCCACAGATTTTAATGACAGAACTAGAACTTAAACCCTAGTCCCCAGACTCCAAGGGCCTTTCCCCTACACTCCATTATTTATATCTATCAAGATAAGTAATATTAGGGCCTACAAGATATCCCAGAGGACTAAGTGCCTGCTTAGGCAAGCACAGGGACCGGGGTTCCATCCCCAGCACCATATGCCTTGCCAGCCCCAACCTTGGGCATGTTGAGCAGGCCACCAAGACCAGGAGGGGTGGTGTACACCTATAATCCCAGCTCTAGGGCGGCTGAAAACAGGAGGATCACTATGAGTCAGAGGTGCCTAGTAAGACTCTGTACCAGATACATTAAAAAGAAAAAAGGTAAATGACATTGAGTATATCTGGCAGGTTGTTTTGGACTTGCCACTTTCCTTGGCATAATTCCTACTCTATTTTGTTATGGAGGTGTCTAGAGGTCAATGGGAAATTTTTGTCCTTACTTCAAAGCCTAAGTCTAGTCTATCCACCTTACATAGATTCTCATATAGCTTGTGCTATATGACCTTCTTTTCTCTGCTGTGTTGTCCATGTCCTGGGTGGAGGTAGTCTTTTTTTGGGGACTGTACTTTGCAGTATGGGACTTGACAACTGAAGGCAGAAAAAGGCAGTGGGATTTTCAAGAAATTCTGAAGTGAGAAGTTCTCTGCTCTTCCTGCACTCCTTGTCTACCTTGCTGTGGCCCTCAGCACATATTGTGGCAAAGTGGAAACAGTCTCCTAAGGATCTTTCCCAAGCCTCAGCACCAGCTGTGGAATGGCATATGGCCTTCACAGAAACACTCAGAATACTAATTTTTTTCTGTATTTTAGGGAAGGGTCTACAGGGTCTTCAGGGTCTCACTACTAGATTGGACTTGTAGTGATCCACCTTTTTATAGCCTCCCAAGAGCTGGGATTATAGGCATACACCACCACCATGCCAAGTCTCAGTTGCTGGCACAGCAGGCCCCGGAATGGAACCCTTTAATCCATGGAGCTATTTGTTTATTTATTTATTTAATTTTGGCAGAACTGGGGATAGAATTCAGGCCCTTGTGCTTTCCAGGGAAGCACTTATTTTACTGAGCCATCTCCCTGTCTCCCTACCACCCAGCTATTTGGCTGGCCTTCAGAATACTATTTGGCTCAGATTCCTGAGCATTCTGTGTTCACTCCAAGTTGACACATGAAAATGCCCATCATTCCACACAACCTAAGAGCAAAGCTGGACTTTTTATATGGAAGATATATCCAGGAACCAGTGAATCTTTTTGCTGTATGTTCTTCATCTTAAAGATGCCAGGGGAGGGTCTGTTAGCTCTCAGAACCAACCCAGGTAGCTTTATGTGGCCATGTAGAAGAGGTAGTATGGCACAGGGAGGGTGGAAAGTAGTCTTAGTGTTCCCATGAGCAGGGCAATTCAAGTTCTCAAGCCTTGCTAGGGTAGGGAAGTTACAGTGAGCCTCTTCCTTTCCATCTTTGCTGAAGGTGAGCTGTTCCTCAGTCTTTAGAGGTGGTGTCTTCCACCTTAAAGACTTAGCTGGATGTGCATGCATGCAGGCCCATGGCTGTGCTGGTTTCAACAAAGAAGACAATAGTGCAGGCAGGAACTGACAGCACCATCTATTTGCTGAGGTTCCCAGGGCTGCATGAGTAGACTCATGGCAGTGGGTGGGGAGCACTCAAGACAGAAGAGGGTGCTGCATTATCAGAGTTTGCTTCTGTAATGATGGAGGTTTGGTTCTTCCTTACAGTGGGGCATAGAAGAGGAAGCTGATTTTCAAAGTGGTCTGTGTGTGTTGTGAAATAGGATATACATGGGAACTTCTGTGAGGGGATGCTCACCTATCCTGGGAGCTGGTGAAGGCTGCCAGGGGTCTGTGGCAGGTGTTACACCCTGTCAGGGGTTGGGTACTAGAAGGAATCCTGTGAAAACTTCTGCCTGACGTGGCAGCAGGGAACTATTTCTCAAATAATCTCCAAAGGTCACATCAAAAAGAAGGCAGGTGACAATGGGACAGATCCTTACAAGTAAATCTTAAGTTCTTGTCTTGCTTTAAGTCACTCTGTTTTATTGTAGTTTATATTATAGTTTAGAAGGGCCAAAATATCTCCTTTTTATTTTTCAGATGAAATGTGGGATTGGAATAGATCTCTCACATGCTCTTTCTTTCACTCCTCCTCCCTCCTTCTCTCCCTCACTTACTCCCTCCTTCCCTTTCTTTTTCTCTCTCCCTGTGCCCACTCCCACACCTATAGCCTACACACTCACCTGTACCAAGTCTGGAGTGAGGCGCTTGGCCTGCAGCCATTTCTGAAATCTTTCTGTTTTCCTCAGCACACGCTCAATGCTGCAGGTCTTTGGGGCTGATACAGAGGCACAGATTCTCCTGTCTGAGACATCATTTTGGTATCTGCTTATCAGCCTAAGGATCTCCACAGGGCGCCAGGTTTTAGAATCATCTGAGTAATTTGCAGGGCAAGAAGGCAAGTAGTCAGAAGGCAGTTCAAGATGGGAAGCCAGTGAGTTGTCAAATCTGTTGGAAGAAGAGTCCCATTAGGATTGATCTGCGAATTGAAGGCCGATAGAGCCAAGGGGTGGGAGAGAGGGAAAAATGGCCCACCTGATCCATTTTGTCTTAAAGAATTCTAAACTCCCATTCAAGTGCTGATGGGGCCCAACACTGCTTATCTTCCAAGATCAGACAAGATCCAGCATGTTCAGGGCCTTTATTGGTAAATGGATGCAACTAGAGGGTATACACATAAGTGAAATAAATCAGACCCACATGTGTAAACATTGCATTGTCTCCCTAGTGTAAGAACCTGAAAGAATAAATAAAATCTGAAAGGAATAATAGATATGGTAAGATGGAAAGAAACTGAACATAAGGAATACAAATAAAGATGAGGGAAAGAGAAAAGAGGGAAAAAAAGTAAGGGGGAAAATCATGCAAGTATGTATTTGGGAAAACTGAAATGATTGTAGTACTCATTTCCGTCAGTTTTTTGAAAGTGTCGGTTGATGTTTAAAATTTTCCTGTTGACTAACTGTGTGCTATTATCTATAGTCTGAGTAACTACATATAAGACAGCAAAGTGCAATACAAAAGCCGCTGCTGAACATTTCTCATCTTGTTCTTCTAAATGTGTACCATTGCTAATGTCTTATCAATTAATATTCTGTCTTTAAAATAAAATTTATCTTATTTTATTTTTTGGCGGGAACCAGGGACTGAACTCAGGCCCTTGCACTTGCCAGGCAAGCGTTTATTCTACTGAGCTATCTCCCAGGCCCCTAAAATAAAATTTAAAAACATATAAAGTAAAGAAAAATAAGAAAAATTAAAGTTTATTGAAAGCAAGCATTAATGTTCAATTATTTGACCAATTTTGCATACCTATATCTATTAATTTGCACAACAGATTTGAGATGAAAATATATAATATAACAAGCACTGTTAAATTTTTATTCTTGCTTTGAAACTCTGTATCATGTGCACTGTCCCTTGTTAGTTTTTGTCTTTGTTTCTGCTATTTGTTTTCATTCTAAAATAAAATAAAATAAGGGATGGCCAGATAACTCAGCAGATTAAAGTGCCTGTTTAGGCAGACGCAGGGACCCAGGTTCGATCCCCCAGGTCATGGTGGGACAGCAATTGAGACTGGGTGTGGTGGTGTGCCCCTGTGATCCCATTGCTTGTGAGACTGTAAACAGGAAAATCACTATGAATCTGATCTGTATAGTGAGACCCTGTAGACCTGGTGCTAAAAACATTAAAAAATAAAGAAAATAAAAAAGAATTCCAAACTTTTTTTAATGAGAGGATTCTTTTTATTTCCTCAAAGTCCAAGAAGTGTTTATGTGATGTCAGAAAAGGTGAGGGAGGTGGGTGAGACTGAAATGATCTTCTTCACTCAACTGGTAGAGAAGGACTAACTGCAGCCTCCTGAGTTTCTGCTCCACATAAAGGTAGTGACTTTACACATGCTGATGCTTTTGATTCTTGTCATAGCTTCACTTTCTAGGTCGGGACATCGAAACTTATAGAGCTTGAGTACTTTGCCAAACATCAGACAGTATGTTGCAGGGGTACAAACCTCAGGCTATCTGTCAGTGAACCCACCCTCTGACCAATGCCTGGGTTTTGGAAGCATTCTTCTAGAAAAGGATCTTGGGCTCACACTGGGGGCACCAATGCCCCTCCATATCCAACTTGAGGGAGCCCTTTAAGTTTTCCTTTCAGTCCCAAGATTTAAGTCAGCAGTGCCAACCAAGTCTCAAACAACAAGGGCTGCTAAATGGTCACTGAAACTGGAAGCTCTCTGGGAGGTATGCAGTTATTTAAAATGTCCTCATCAGTTTTTAATCATCCTCAGAAGAGAGGTACTGGCTTATGATTTGCCAGTTTCCTCAGCCCTGTGGTTGCCTTTTTCTCTCCACTCACATCTCCAGCTGTGTGCTGGCACTGCTACTGGAGTAGAAATCCAAATATCCTTTTTTTATTACTTTTTTTCAAAGTTTTATTGATAAACAGATAGCAATGAGACAGCTTCAAATCCAATCAGAAGTACAGTTTCAACAAATAACACACTGCATATATTCTTCTTAGTGGCTAATTGCTGTACAAGATGCAGACTTGAGATCCTATTTACAAACACCATTAGAACAAATCATTCTATTCATTAAGAGAATG